AACTAGTAAAGTTTACTAGTGACCTGGGTTCATTTCTCTGCTCAGGTGTAATCTTGTTTACAATTCTGTTAAGTGGGTTGGTTTCTTTCTGCCTATTCATTCCCTTTTTGTAAAAGGAGAGTAGGAGATAAAATGTATGGTGCACACTCTACTGAATGAGGTGCAGAAGATGTTTAAATTATGTTTGATTTGTAGCAATGAGAAAACATAATGCATATCAGGTATTTACATTCCAAATCATAACTGTAGCAAAATTACAGTTTTGAAGTAGCCACCAAATTTTTTTTTTGGTTTGGGGTCACCACAACATGAGGAACTGTATTGCGGGGTCACAGCATTAGAAAGGTTGAGAACCACTGTTCTAGAGGATGGGTGCAAACACTAAGAAGAACCTCTCGTGGAGCACTTGAGATGTGCGGCATGAAGCATTTTGGTAATCTGTTCTATTGCTTGACAAACATCTTCTGTGCATTGAGTAGTGTGTTTAGATTACAAAACCATGATCTATAAGTATACGGTAGTAGTAGGGAAGCAGAGTGTGACTTGGCCAAAGTCTACCAGTGGGTTTCATGCTGAGTTGGGATTTGAGCCCTGATCTCCCGAGTTGCATGATCAAACCACTGGTTCTCTTTGTTCTTGTTCTTCTGCTGTGCCTTCTGTGCTTTATTATGCTTGTTGCTATTGTTATTGTTGTGTGCCTCCAAGTCGTTTCCAACTTATGGGCCCAGAGCACCCTCCCTTCCTTCCGAGCACTGGTTCCTAGAGATCCTAAAGTGAAACTATCACAGGGCAAGCTTTGTCAGAGGGTGATTTCCATTGCCATCCTCTGATGCTGAGAGAGTGTGACTTATGTGTGTGGTGCCTTCAAGTCTTTTTTGACTTAACGGCGACCCTAAGATGAAACTATCATGGAGTTTTCTTGGCAAGTTTCATCAGAGGGAGTGCTTCTTTCTTAACTGTCTAGTTCTCACATCCATACATGGTAACAGAGAAAACAATGATTTACGATTCTGACTTTTCTGTTCAGTTGTATATCTTTGATTTTAGAATCTTTTTCTAGTTCTTTCGTAGCTGCCCTCCTCATTCTTAATCTTCTTCTGATCTCCCAACTACAGTCCCTGTTTCTATCAGTGTTTGATCCCAGGTATGAGAACTCTTTTACTACTTCTATTTCTTCATTGGGCCTCTGCTTACCAGCCCAAAGGGCCGACCTGGAGACAAAGATGGGGAGGGGCTGCTGCACGCTGGCTGCCCCAACCCCAGCCTGACAACATCCTGATGCCACGTGCCATTTCACACGGCGTGCGGCATCAAGACGTCCTCCCGGTGCAGCATCCTGACGCACTGCGCCAGAAAGGGCAAGAAAGAGCTGTGTGCCAGCTCTTAAGGCACCCTTTTGCCACCCCTGAAGGGAGCAGAATTTTGCTGCTCTTTCAGGACAGCAAAATAAAGGATCGGGCCGCAGCATGCGGTAGCCGCAGCCCCAATCCTCTGCTTCCCGGGGCGGCCTAGAGCTACCCATCTGCATTGTCTAGGCTGAATTTGTCTAGATTCTCTGTCATCATTATTTTTGTTTTCTTTATGTTCAACAGTAGGCCTGCTTTTGCACTTTCTTCCTTGATCTTCCTTAGCAGTTGTTCCAGGTCTAGGAGGTTTTCTGCTAGTATTATGGTGTCATGTGTGTATCTTAGATTGTTGATATTCCTTCCTCCAATAAGTCAAAAATGACTTGAAGGCACACAGCAGCAACAACATCTATAATGTGGTCTTATTTTCTTATTGCCTTCCATTTTACCAAGCAAAATCAATTTATCAACCAATCAATGTTTCCAGTGAGGGTTTCCAATAAGTAAATAGTCTCAGACTAAAGTGTCTACAACTTGCAGAGCTACTAAGCATAAGACAGAGGAATAAGATGTAGGAAACAGGACACAAGAGATTGCTGATAACCTGACAGGAGAAGAGGAAGGCTTTGAAAGAGGTAAGAGGTAAGACAGCAGTTAAAGAGAAAGAGGATGGAGCCTGAGGAAAAGTGGCTTAAACAAAACCACAAGATTAATTAAATCAGAAATAATTTTGTAGGCAGCATAATTAATTTTCAGAAATAGATAATAGTTTACTATAATGTTTTTACAGTTGCAAATAGATATGCCCAATTTGAAAATTTTGAAAAGAAATAATTTATCGCCCTCCACACACAGAGGAATAGAACTGCATTAACTATTATTAAACTGATATTGCTTTTTTAATTATACTTAAGGATATTAACTATTTGAGATATAGGCCTCTCCATCCAAATGTCCAAGTTAAGAAACATCAGGTTGTTTTAATAAGTGCAAACGGTCAGAGGAACATTATTTATTTTATAACATAGTTTATATAGTATTTATTTATGGGTGTTTATGATATTAGAAATAAATGAATTTAAATGGAAAAATCAACTGGTTTAATTTTCTTCTTGCATATGTTTATGCTGCTGCTGATGCAAATCAAGCAAGATGTGGACCAACCACTACCACTAATTTTAAATTTTCATTTTAAATAGGATTAAATAATGTGGTATCCTGTTGTAGGTATGAAACAGCTGAAACTCTTAAAATCAGGATGGCAGAAAACTTTTTGTTGAAGTGAAACTGTTGCTGCAATCGAAAACATATGGCCATGTGTGAAGCAATATTTTAAGGTAAGCTTGGCTGAATGACTGGTAGTCTTCCTAAGAATGCTTTTCACTTTCCTAACAGTCTCCTTAATAAAAATGAATGTTTTGGGTGTTTTGAATATGTTGTAAATATGAAATGCTTTTCCTTCCTATTTTGTCTTAGGACTTCTTTCTTCCTCTTTTATCTTTTAGAGAGTACATGCTGAGGAATGGATGGAAATTATAGATGTCATTGGAGGGAGAAGAAACCAGAGAGGAGCCCTTGAACAGTGATCCCTGATTTTAATGTATATTTATAGATAAAGGTTTTGTCTCCAACACATTTCCTATATGTATTACTTTTTAAAATTTCTCAGTGCCTTTTAGTGTGTGTGTGTGTGTGTGTGTGTGTATGTGTGAGAATGAAAAGTCAATACAAGTCAACAAATCTGTAAAGCTGGTTCTGAGAAGCAATTTAATATGAGTGAAATTATGCAATAATGGGTCCTGCTGTATGTATTCTTGTTTTTCAGGTATCTCCTCTGAAACATTATTATAGTTACATTAGAAAGAGTTAACACAGAGTTTATGGTCATGTATGGAACTTCCAATATCCTCAAATTATTACCATTCTAATTTTAATGTAATTTAATGAAGCACCATCATTTCTCTAATGACGGCCTGCCATTTAGAAACCTTATATTTTTGTCCTATCAGTATCTTAGACCTACTGTCATTCATCTAAAATTATCACAGATGGCAAGAATTGAACTAGAAGATGTGTTGCAGAGAGGACAGTAGTTTATTCTTCACTGTTAAAAGCGTGGATTTTTACACATTATTTTCACTTTCCAGAGCAAAAATACATGCTATGATATTTCTGTGTCTTTAAGCTGTAGGAGACAATAAAATATTCTGGGTTTACAACACAGGCAACTTCCAAACTGCTTTGGAAAATTTATCCCAACTGTTCCTCTGCTATTGTATTCTGCAGCACTACATTAATGCAGCACATTTGATTTCAAGTTTATTATTTTAATTTAAATTTAATCTCACTGAGAGAACAAAGCTGATTCCATTGACATAAAGGGTCTTTTTGTGAGTGCAGGGGATTAAACATTGTGTTCAGGAGCTTTTTACTGAGATCAAGGATAAGAATTGGGCCTAACAATATTCTTGCTTTTTTGATGTTGTTATAGCATTTTCAAACTGGGCCACAACTTGGATTCCAGCCTGCAACTTAGGAACAGCTCTATACATCACAACATAACCCATAAAATGTGAGAATGTTATACATGTAAATGTTTGCATCTTTAAACATCCCGATTAACTTGTCAGGGAGTAAAGTATTTGGATATACTGTGGATGTTGATACACTATGCACATTTGT